GGAAAAGTCTCAAAACTCTAGAAAATAAGTCTTTAAAATAACAATTGCCACTATATTACTGTGCTAGGCTACTCGTAGCTTTGGTGAGGACAACTGAGCATTTATAATTTTTTAAAATGAAGCTAATTTTGCTACTACTACATGGAGGAAATTATATGCCACCCACTTTTTAAGGATATAATCTTATATTTTTACCATGAAACTTGATCAACTTCTCAGTTCCATTGAAGCTGTTAATTTTATTTGTTAACTTCAACAAGCCCTTCAGGTTTCACGTATTTATTTAAAAAAAAAGCCTTTGTACACTGTAATCTTCTTTTATTGGCTGTGACCATATCAAATCACACTCCTTTTATTGCTGCAACTTATTTCTATGATTCAACTCAGAAAAGCAGACTTTGCAGAAACTTGATATTCCCCATACTTAAATATTCCCACAACTGTACTCTGCTCACATATTTGTGTTTTATAATCTTTGCTTTGAAGTTAACTTTTTTCTCCCCACGTTTTTGTGCAGGATTCATTTCCTAATCTACATTGTCCAGGAAGTTATTTCATTACTCATCTGTCATTAAACTAAAAGCTCCATTTATTATTGAAAACATCTACTGGTTTGGATTTAGAAAAACTCTTCAGATTTAGAAATGCTAAATGACATAGCTAATTATAAGTAAGAAAAATTGTACTTTAAAATTGACTGTGAAGGTTAAGATAGAAGTCACTGTGACTTTGATGTGCCTTCATATTTCATGGGCTTAATCTCCCTAGATCGTATCAGTTACTATGATTTTCAGTGATTTTCGTGGCTATTAATGATGTATGTTACTATTCTACAGTAGTTTCAGTGTAGCACCTTAAAATGTTCTTGTAATATGTTTTGTAAAGTCAACATTTTTTTTCTGTGCTGTGACTGTTGCGATCACAATAAAATATTACACTTCAACCTGGACTGCTGTCTTAAGAGCTTTTGATCTGACATACAGTTTACTCTTTGAAAACTGGATCCATCTACTCTTTATTGATGACTTCTCTGCTGCGGTTTTATCAGATCTGGAGCCCATGTAGACTTTGATGGACTGTATTTAAAAAAAAATTGGCTCTGTCATGCATTTTTCATCATGTTTCATCATGTTTCTCCTGTTTCTCCTGACTGAAATGACAGTCCTCTGTCATTTGAAATTTAGAAACATGCCTACATTTTTCTAACTGCATGAGTGATAGCCAAAGATTGAGATCCAGTGTTCCCCATTGCTTTGTTAGTTGTAAGTGTATCTTCTAACAGAATAATCTTATGATGCTTCCACAGACCCCAGTGAGGACTTAAGGAACTAAAATAGACATTTTCTAAACTAAATATAGGTAGTGTATTTTTTTTTTGATATAATACACAAATTGTTGGTAAAAGCTCCATTCAGATTTGCTAAATCTTGATTGCAAAATGCTGTGACAAACAGAAAAGTGTAACTGTTTTTTTAGAGAGGTTTCATCATTATCATGTTATAAAAAAGTCTGATTCACACCTTTAAATACCATATTCAAGCTAAAAGGGGTTTAATGCGCATGGAGAGAGAGGTGATTGAAGGGACAGGAAGGTAGATAGGTAGAAGGATAAAGGCCAATGAACATGTGAAACGTGGAGAAAGAAAAAAATGATCCTTGTATGATAAAAATGTTATCTGGACCATATGGGCAAAGAAATGCAGCACATCTGCTTTAATCAAGTTGGCTCACCTAACAGATGCAGTCCAGCTATGCAGTTGGAGCACTGTGTAGGCTCAAAGCCCATTCAAATGATGAGTACATTTTTAAGAAGAAAACCTGTTAACAGCTTGATAAGTGAAGCTACACTCTGAGTTTTAATCTGTCTGTGTTCCCATAAACCCACCATATGCCCTTTAAACATCCATGGAAGGAAGAATAAAAACAGTCCTTATTTAAGAAATTATTTTGGAATATTTTTAATAATACTTCTCCATAATTTCGATGACATAAAATATCACGATATTCATGCAGAGTTAGGGACTGCATAGAAATACTGGCTAAGAACTGACATAAAATTCCAGGGAAGAGAGCTTTTATGGCAACTTCGAAAAATAAGAGATTAAAGGTTTGGTTTTAATGCTTCCAACATGCATAGAATTCCCTCACCAGCCAAAACCACATGTATATTGATATTGATGAATTTTCACTTGGTAAAAAGACTAGGTCCATGTCAGGCTTTTATTCCGTTCAGAGGTTTGGCTCCCTGCCATGTCTGCAGGCAATAAATTGGTTGTAGCAGAGCTGCTTCGAACTCTGTGCTGAGTAGAAGTATTCCAACCGAGACAACAGCTACCACCACAAGATAAGCAAGAGGAGAAAATCACTGCAAGTAAGTACACTTACTTAGAATCTGACAAATAATGATTTTTCAGCTGAATTTAAAGTTTTCTTTTGAAGTTTCTTTCTTAATCTGAACTTCTGTCTAGTTTAGAGACTGCAGATTTCTTAAAGGTTACATGATCTGAAAAAAAAAAATCTCACTGATTTATTTATTATAGGATTATGCCTTTGCTTTTAATTTGCTGTTAAATTGTAACTGATGATCTTTGATTAGCAAGATTGTTGATTCTTTCAAAAAAAAAAAAAACTCTTGAGATAGTCTTTGAAATACTATGTTATAAATGTGCCAGTGTAGTGGTCAGATAATATTTGGATCATGCTACTTCCAGAACAAACTCCAAAGGTTTAAAATCCTGTTTCCAGATATTGAATTTAATTTGTTTTTACAATCACATGTGTGAGGATTAGTGGATGAAAGAATAATGCCTGAGAACAAAAGAAACCAGTAAAGGACAAGAAAGGTTACTTAACAGGTTTTCTGTGCTGCCTTCATAGAAATGCATCAGTATGGTTTATGTAGCCAGAAAATTCTTCAAATTCCCTATGCTTTCATAGCCAACTTGTTGCTGTTGGCCAGATATGTGCTCAATTATATCTGATTTTAGCATTTTAAATGGTCAAAGCTGAGCTTGTCTGCTTCCCTGGTACTTGCCTCAGATGTGAAAACTGGCATATACGTAATAGAAGAACAGAAGAAACTGAAGAAATGAGCTTGAAAAAACAATAAGGAAATAGATGTAAGGCAACAAGTGGAAGTGAAAATAAATATGCCAAAGTAGGTGATACCTATCATGGTGTGAAAGGAAAGGGTTATCAGGAGAGGGACATTTACATTTTCCTCAGACTTAAGGGACATGTAAGGAAGTTAGAGAGTTTCTTTGTTATTTTATAGACCTGAGGTGCAATCCTATTGTAAACACATATTTCCTCCAAGCTGAAACTTGTCTGCTTGTTCAAACAATCCACAATTCAAAACAATTGAAATTAAGTACAATACTTTAGAATTTCAAGAGTTGTTTCCTGTCTTTCTCAATACCAAGTTTCTTAAGTATTTGTCCAGTCCAAATCATACACATTTGAAAATTAAACAGCTCTGCCCTCTTGAGGAATTCCTCAGACTCTTTGCTTGTAATAGTTTTCCCTCTATTCTTACAGAGGTCATGGGGTATAAATAATACAGATGCAAGACTGAATCTGAGTGATTTGTATAATATTACATTGGTTCTCCATAAAAGCAAATTTAATTTCATTAAGTATTTAAGATAAACCGCAACTTAAGCTGACATTAGTAACTGCAGTAAACGAAGATCAGACCCAGGGACACTTCCCTGACTGCATCACTAGGTGTAAAAATCTGGATTTTCAGAACCTCTGTTCAAGTGCTTGTCGAACTGGAATTGCACTTAAGTTTTCATCAGACATGATCTTCAAGGGAACATGTAAAATGGGCTAACAAGGGGTTAAATGCCTGTTTTCTGGGCATCCCTACTTTGACTAAGTCTCGATGCTTTGTTAACATTGAATACCTAGTACACCACTATCTTTCAAGGTCTACAGGCTTGTGTCACCTGCCCACTCTTTCTGGGTTGTGCATTTTCAGAAGGCAGCTCCTATTCAGGACCTGATAGAAACCCACTCTTTTTTTTGTTAGCCCTCAGTGGAAAAGTAGCCTCATAAAGATGATAGATCAATTTTTACCTCTAACTACAAGGTATTTTACATTTGAAAAATGAAACAGGAAAAATATTTCAGTTATTTTTAACAAGGATGTTTCAATTTTAAATGGCATAAATGAATATTCAGTTATATGAACCGAGCTAAAGACAGTGAAAAGGAGCATTAGTTTAGGCTTTTAATACAGTAAGAGGAAAATAGAGAGTGAAAGAAATCTTTCCTCTCTGTCATTTCACATAACAATTTAATGTGAAATTCTGAAACAAGATTCTGAAATTTTACCTCTTTATATAGAAAAGAACTGAAACAGACTAGAAGACAGCACTCTCCTCCCCTAAAGTTAACTCACAAATTTTTGTACTAGAGTCAGAGTCAAATTTCTGCAGCCTAAGTGGCATTTAATTATTCTGTGTAAAGCTGAATGGGGATAAAACTATACCTTTCTTTGCTCAGTTCATTCACCAGGGAACTGGAAAAAATAGAAGCTAATTCTTCTCTTTAGTCTGCATTTTGTTGTAAACAGATGTAATAAACAGCTGGATTCATGAGAGTTTTTAGAATGCAGAATTCTAGTGCCTCTATCTTGATTAGATTATCTGAAAAGGAAGCTGAAGCTGTATCTTCAAGATGTCTTACTAGGATGTCCCATTCTCCAGAGAGGGTGGCCCTCATTCTGTTCAAGTGCGCAATCACACTTAGAGGGTGAATTTATACCACTTTCTTCAAATGTTATTAATCAAAATTATGCACTTTGTAAATGGGCCTCTGACATAAAATATGAAATATTGTGATGAATTCTAACTTACATTTTAGGACTGAGAAACAGTGACTACCCGGGTTACCAGGTTTCCACAATGCTGCTCCGCTCAGGCCGCCAAAAGTCCTACAAAGCACCTGCCTGGAGAAAGCGATGTGTTAAAAATAAATCTCTGCTGAGAAGTCTCAAGACAGTTTCAGAAAAGCCAGGTAAACTTATCTTTCCTGTGAATGTATGCCCTTAACCTGGGAAAGGCGACAAAAAAGGCAGAATTAAGGGCCTGCTAACTCTTTTATTTGTGGAACTATAACCCCAATTATTATACTATACAATACCTGCACAATACTATACAATACAACAACAATTTTTAGAGTTTTTTTCTGTATTAATTATGCTACCTCTTGCTGTGCTGTGTTCTGGCTGTTTTCCTCTTGTGCAGATCTGAGCGGTGAGGCTGCCAGGCCTCTGAGGGCAGGGCCTGGATGAGTCACGCACGTGTCACACCTGCTGGTGCCGGGGTTATGGCACAGGTCCTCGGGCTGTGCACAGTTCGTCTGCTGCGTCCACTTCATTTACAAATTTTCTGATCGCCGAAATAGGATCCTTTCGGAAGGGAATGCTTCTCAGAAACAACTTTGTTTTCAAAATGCCTGCTAAGAACCAGATGTTTCGGAAGACATACATAAGTGTAATGAGGATGAAGTTTTCAGTGAGGCCCTGCATTCCCAGAAGATTATGTCAATATTGGTGGCTGCTGGGTGTGCTGCTGTTTTGCTTAGCTACTATTTTCTGGCCAAGAAAGATCAGTTTATCCCTCGCTCATTCTAGAGATCAGTATTGTCTCAGGAATGTCCAAGATTTGTACTGAATTCACAAGTAGAAAATCTATGCAGGAAGATAATGTGGTCTAACATATTGTGCCTATTCAATTGTGTTCAGTAGAGTTTTAATACCAAAGTGGCTGAACTATGTCCTTTCAACATCCAGAACTGAGAGTGCTGAGAGAGTTCAACAGTGATGACAAACAAACAGAGAGACATATAAACAAGCCAGAAGTCTAAGAGTTGTCTAAGGCTTCTCTCTTAGTCTTTTTCAGAATTTATTTATTTGTTTTACCTTTGCAGTATACATTTTCACTTATGTTATTACCTCTGCAGTATGTATTTTCACTTATGTTAATACTGGAATCACTGTTTCAAAGTCAGTGGATAGCCACGGTTGCTCTAGCATTTTCCATACACACTGCACTGATTTATTGGTAGCCCACTGCTAAAAGAACTTGCCACTGTAATCTCTGGCCATATCTTGTGTTGTGCTTGCCTTTTTTTGAGTTACTTTTTATGCTCAGTTCCCACATTCCTGATGTAATATTTCTGGTAGCTGAATTTCCCTCCTAACATTTTTTACTTAAGAATATTTTATTTTCGTTAAGACAGAACTGTTCCTAAAATAAACACTCTTTTAGATAGCAGTCTGCAGCCTGAAACTGTTCTCTATAAGCAGATTTTATTTTTCAGTGATAAAATCAGTAAATAGGCAAGCACTATCTATGAAATAAAGGAAATCAGTCTGGGAACAGGATGCTGAGGAGGTACTTTCTGTACTTTGCTTTTTGCATCTTTCAGAATGAAAACTGAGAACTTGGCCTGCTCTCTTCTTCACTGTCCCGTCCAGCTGCTGGGCACTGTTTACAAAACTGCTCTGTCTCCCTCTCCCCACAGGACTGTCCTCCCTGTTCTAAGCCCGTCACCAGCCAATTGATAGTTCAGGCCCTCCCGCTCCTGCTCAGATTCCCTCTAGCCCCATCAATCTCTTCCAGCACAGCTCTCTGCAGGTTGGCTGGAAGCCTTGACAGAAGGAGCAACCCCTGCAAAAGACCTGCTTAAGTCCACCCAATTATTTTTACTATTATCATTTTAATTATTGCTCTACTGCTCTAAAGTAAGTTTAGTCTTTGTGAAATATACAGAGATTACCAAGCAAACATTGCTGGAAAAATACAATATTTTTATGGAATTGTGCTGTTTTTCTGTTACTACTAAAACTAACGAAGACTCATTTACAATTAGGATTTAGTCTACGAGAAACTGTAAAATGTTACATACTGACAGAAGACTCAAGAACTGTGCATTTTGATTTAGATGAATATGGTCATCATGAAATATCCACCAAGGATTCACAATCCCATGAAGGTACAGTGTGCTTTTTATACCAAAACTCACCAGCTGCGTGTATAGTGTTGTAGGGATTTGTTGAATGTACCATTATGCTTTCCGTTTTATCAGACAGTGAAGATAGTATTTTACTGCCTCCTTATGAAGTAAAGTGATAAGAGAGAACTTATTTCCAGGTTCGACAGGTACATAACACACACGAAGGAAGATTTACTTGTTTGCTACCCTCTAAGTTAATAGTATAATGTACATGTTTGCCTTTTACGAGATAGAAAGCAAAGGTAATTCTTAGGGACAAGGGCAAAATGAAGAAGAAAGAGAGAGTCTATTGGAATTTGAGGAATTCATTTATATTTCATGGAACTGTTCCATGGATGTCTCAATTCTATTCTCAATAGACCTGCTCTAATTCACAGGAAAAATGATACCAAAACTAACCGCGCATAGTAGGTGTCAAACAGTATGCTTTTGGCAGGGAAGATCCAAATAACCATGCATACAATTGTTCTAGAATTAGTCATTTTACAGAGATATGAAAGTAGGGAGAAAAAGCAAAAGTTGCAACCAATATATAGAAAAGTTGAAATCTCTAAGATAACTATTTACTTGTCAAAACCTTATTTTCTTACAGAAATTCAACTTGTATGGTAATGCTATATTCTTCATTATATATTCTTCAGATAGATGCACAGAAAGGCTTGTTTGATACATTTAAAAACTAAATTATGGAATTTGATCCTATTAAACTGTAAGCAATGACAACTGTATTAACCAGCAATGTGTTTAAGTGTCCTTTCTGTCTTCCAGAGAATCTTATATATATAGGATAACTTCATACAGTTCTGGAGTAACTCTGTCAGTTAGTAATGCTGATTTTTGGACAGCATTAAAAATGGTATTTGGAAATAACAATATAACAGTAGGCTATGAATAGATTTTTAGGGTTGCAGTCCAGATGTGAAATATACCGGGCTAAGGAAAAAAAAGATTGGAAACTTTTGTGTGTTTACATATATACGTAAACAATCACACACAAGCTTGCATATTCATTGTAATATATTTATTACAAACTTGAGAGTACATCTGTGCAAGTTTAACTGTGCTCTGGCCAGGATTTTTTCAATTCTGATACCTGCAAGAATCAAAATCTGATAACTACTATTACACAGTTTCTCAGATTATGCTTTAAAATAATTCTTTAAGTTTTTTCTGGTGCTTTTGGGTTTGAAGAGTAATTGTCCAATTCCTGATCTTTATTAAATATGTTTTCTTTTAGATATTGCATGGTTAAGCGTGTTTACAAGTAATGAATCAACAATTTGTGGCGTGACTCAAGTTGAAACAAAGTCATCTCAGCAAAGTAAGGAACCTCTCTGTGATTTCATATGTAATACTTCCACTTTTCAGTGGCAATATGGAAATTTAGATTCCTTCAAATTTGGTCTTAGTAAACAATGTATAAGCAACTTGCAATAAAGCTTAGAAACAGAGAAAGGCAAGGATAATTAGAATGTAATGCATATTAATGTCATCAGTTGACTTTCTGTATTTTCACATCCCTCTTTGTTGCCATTCTTACATATATATCAGGTATGCATATGACATTCGTATAAAATACCCCTTGACTTCTGATATGACACTTACACACTGAGCTGAATTTGAACTATTGGAGCTGAGGGAAACCAAACTGATGACATAAAGGTATCAAAACTTGCAGAACTTAGTCTCTATATTCTATTACATTTTTCTGATTCATTACCGTATAGACATGTAGAGTAAAATAAAGTAGCCTGGAATGTGTCTTGAATTCTAATGAGGATTTTTGAGCTATTTTGTGCAGTAAGTGATTCATGAAAATTCCTTACAGAGGTTTTACCAGAAGCGTTATGGTTAGGGTAAGTCAAGTAACTAAGATCAGGGCTAGGATTAGAACAGGTAAATTCAGTCATGAGTATGTGCTGCTGATTCATAATACCTTGCAAAGGATGAGAGACATTCAATAACAACAACAACAAAAAAATCTCTTTAATTGCAACAGCAGGTGGAAGATCTGTTTATTTCTTGTCCTGTGCCTATTAATATATATTGAACCTGAATGTTGTCTCTTTACAAAATATTTCTTATGCTTTATTTTGAAAAGTTCTAAGCTTTTTATTACAAAATTCTCCTGTTGATAAAACAGGTGCTAAAAATCTGGTGATCCTCACACAGAGATCAAAACGTAATGAATTTGTCCTGTTGTGCACGGGTGAAGAGCAGCTCTCCCTAAAAGTAAGAAGTATTAATTTTCTTTATAACATGTAGATCATCTTTCTCACTATAAAACAACTTCCCTCACAGTCCTTTCTTGAATTCTTTTTTTTTTTTCCTTACTGCCTTCTACATTTCAAAGTTTCTGACTACCTCCTTGTGTACTCTCTGGAAATTTTTGGAATGAGTTATTGCAAAAAGCATCAGCTACACAAGTGACTACTGGCAGTAGAAGACAAGCTGGGGTTCAGCTAGATTAAGAAGGGAATTATTTTCTAATAATAAACCCGGGTTATAAGTTGATGAAAAGGACATCTAAAACGAAAAGGAATTACAGATGCATCTAGTAATCTGCTTTAAACATTTGCCCTCCCCTGTAGTAACATTTTAATTTTTGTCACTCTTGTCGATAAAGAATAGGCAAGGCTATGTTTCCTTAATGCAGATTAAAACCTTTACTGACACCTGCCTCAGGAAGTTTATCCTCTAAAATTGGGCAAAGGTCTAAAAGCTCTGTTTACACAGCCTGTGTGAGATAAAGAATGACGCCTAATCTAACCTTGGCTATGAATGGTGATGTGAATCATGAAATGCCTTCTCAAGTCTATCTTCAAAATTTTCCATTTATTTTTAATTTGTAGATGACTTTCCATCAAATTCATTTCTTGATATTATCTGGGGAAATGTGCAGATATATTAATTAAAACATTATCCCGCTGGTATTTTCCTTTCTCTTCTTGCAAGAGCAAACATATGCAGAATTTAACTGGTTCAGAGAATAACTTTTCATAAATGAATCCTCTGCTAGGTATACTGCAGAATTAGAGAAAGAATTGTGTTTAACCCTGGTAGATTTTACTTTTCAATTAGCTATTTTTAAGTGTTATATTGCATTGTGTGCATGACGTGATTAGAAATAGCTCTTATTTGAAAATAAGGTAAGATATAGTGCCTCCCAACTATATAAATCATTGGAAAGTTCAGGATACATAACATAGTTTAGCCTTGCCTGCACTGCACGATAGAATCTGGGCTTTAAACAATCTGAAGGATTGTCTTTGCTATTTATTCATTTTGCTTTGCAAAAGGTAAGATAGGAATGTACTCTCAGAACTGCCTTGAGAATTCAACCATCTAGTAGTTTTGGATATTTTGAATTTAATTGTTTATGAGATTTATAAAAATTAGAGTTTTCTTTAGAGTTAGTAATACATATGGTGATTTAAAACAGATGAAAATATCAAGACAAAATTACTCATGTGTGTGTTTGTAAATACAGGTCTTAAAAGCAAGCTGTTCAGAACTAGATTATCCAATAGCGAAAAGGCGTTGCACCTTGAAAACATGCAAACATGATAATCCTGACTTTGAACAGGTATGTAATCGTGATCAGCCAAATAAAACTTTGTGTGCATGAGCAAATGTACATGCAGGCATATGTGTAAAAAGAGGCGGAGCTTAAGGTAATCCTAATGTTACTTATAAATAATTTTTAGTATTTTCCTCTAGAAAAAAAAAAGAATGGACAACTTGTTCTTACTTTTGCCTTGACTTTTGTATGCAAAAACATCTTTCGGTCTATGAACAAAATATCTGAGCTTAAATTAAAATTCGAAAGACCAAGTGATTTTTTTGCGCAGTATTGTGCTTGTACAAAATCAAGGAGATAGGCAGAGTATAGGTATATTAGTAACTCTTAAAAGGTTAATTTAAAAGAATGTTAGCATTTTTATGAACAGTAAGTCCATCAAAGATCAGAGTTTCTGGAATGTAATAAAAATACAAAGAAGAAATTGCTAAACATCAGATATAAATAAGAAATGAAAAATAAGGAGTCTCTGAAGAACTTTCAGATCAATTCTATACTAACAAAAGATTGTAAATCAAAAATAATGCACTAGATGAATTCTATACCAGCAGTAGGTTGTAAATCAAGAATAATACACTATGTATAGAAAGTTAAATGTTTTCTTAGCACACTTTTTGTGATGGAAACTTGATTGTGATGGATATTCTCAAGATAGAAGTAATAAAACATTGTGAATACAGAAGGAAAAATAGTTGAGTTGTATTACATTTTATTTTAAACTAGATGTTTTAACTAAGCAGATCTAGCTAATAATCATTTTTGTAGTGTCATGCTGACTTACTAGAGAGGAGGATTAAAAAGCCAATTGTTTCAATTTCTGTAAGCAAAAGTTATCTGGGATCAGATGCAGAACTTCATAAAGTCAAAACTGTAAAGTGAAAAGCTGAAAATTGAAGCTGAAGTTCACAGTCTGATTTTTAACATTTGTCCTAAATAAAATAAATAAAATTGAATTTTTAAAAAAGTGAAAGAATGTTTATCATCACTGAAAGATCTCAATGGGTCTTTCTGCTCAAGATGTTGCCACAAAAGTCCTTAGCTCTGTACAGAAGGAGAAAGAATGAGCCTTAGAAAAATTATTGGAAAACCTTTAATGTTTTCTTTAAAGGATATATGCTACCACAGTCACATTGCGTTCTTTAAAAAATTTATTTTAAAATGTATTCCAGGTTTTTTTCAAGAAAAGTTATGCCATTTTCTATAGCACTTTTCATAGGGGGAAAAAAAAGTAATAGTTCCAGGTTTGGGGGAATTGCAAGGCAGAGTACTTGCCTGGAGAGACCTATTCATCACTTTGGGTTTCTAAACAGAAGATTAAAATGAAGAATTCAGGTAATGATCCTTTACGGAAAGTATTAAGCTGCCATTGTCCGGAGGATGAAGAAAATGCAGGAGCAGTTGAGTAAGATGAGGATATACTTCTCATGGCTGAATAAAACCCTAGGTGGTACTACAGTGTGATAATACATAATCTGCCAACTTATAACAAAAGATCTTAAAGATAGACATTTTTCTTGTATTGAAAGACTGTTGGTATTATGAGAAATAGGAGACATCTCTGAGGCCTGCAGTTGTTCTGGCAGGAAGTTACATGTAGTGTTTTAAATTTCTGCTTGCCTAACAAACTTGGAAGGAGAAACAGTTAACAACCAACCTTACCGATCAATAAACATCCTTTATTAATTAAGCTGTTCTTATTACAATAAGATAATAACAATTTATGACAACAAACGATAGCTTATAATAAGAGCTTCTTGCAATAGGAGTTGCGCTGGGACAGGGTCAGAGATTACAACTGGTATTCATTAAAATTCCGCATTTCTAAAAGCTGAATAGCTATTCCCAGAGCACATCCAGACATTCACGCACTGTTAGCCAGCAAGAGCAGCAGTGGGGAGACTCATTGTCGTGTTAGGTAATATGTTCTCTTTTAGGAAAGTCTGAGCACTTTCACAACTTTGTCCCTCAGTGGTGAAGTCTAAGCACGTAAATAGTGCTGTCTGAGGTCATTTCTGAAAAAAAATCTGTTTTAGTCTGGTTTCTTTCAGCACTTCCTCTTGCTAATAGCTTTTTCTGACCCAAAAACACCCTCCCTGGGTTTTTGCAAGCTATTTGATCACGTGACAGTTTATTTAGAAGTCTGAGTCAGGGTTTCTAGCTGTGTGATATCAGGGCTGAGCCCTGAATCCCTGGCACACAGGCAGCAAAATGGATAGGAGGAAGGGACAGTGTGGGGGAAGAAATAGCAGTGGGGGGAATTATACAGATAGACTTGTTTCCATTTAAACCATTCTCATTTATTATGCACAAATTTTTACCATTTAAGTGTATCGGTTACCAGACACATCTTCTCCAGTACTTATCCTACTGCATCCTTTCAATACTACTTCTCTTTTTGTTCAGTCATAATGTTTTACTCCATGTGTTACCTCCTCCAAAACTCTCACATACGTATTTTTAATCCCCAGTTCTCAGTTTTTATTTACTTCAGTGCTGATTGATAGTTCTCGGTATCCCTTAAGTTTCAAACCTCCTTTACTCTTCTCTTTCTTGGAGATACCCTCTCTGAAAGCCTTCTTGACTTACAAATTTACTTAAAAGAAAAGTTAATTCTGCCACTAGGCTTGGTTACTTGTCTTCATTTTTTTTTTGCCCTCAGGGATTAAAATCAACTTAGCTAAATAAAACTACTGATGCTATTTGATTAT